TATATATATATATGGAAACTGGTGCTTAGAGAAGATTGGCCAGTGTTCTAAATGTCTCAAAGTGTAACCAGGGCATCCTTAATGCCAAGGACTTCTTACTCAGAATCCTATCCTTTTAGAATACTTCTATCCCTGACCATGAGAGCAAATGTGTGTGGCCGCTAGGCAGAGAAGAGGCAGTATTGCACACTGCAGGCCTCCCCCATCCCATTTTGCTCCAGCAAAGTGTGTCCTTAGATATTTCTTACTCTTTGTATGTGTCTTTCTTCACTCTCAAAATAGTATAATCTCTTCCCTACCCAATACACATTGAGACCCAGATGAGGTGTTGCGAAAGAACTTTGAGGATTATGTATGTTTTCAGGAATGCAAAATAGCCTTTCTTTTTTACAAACTCCATATGGTTTGTAAAGACATCAGGTTTTATTTTTCAGTAACATCAAGAAAATTTGTGAGACACTTTCCAGTTTGCAAAGTGTGCTTCATATATCTTGTTGCATTTAAATATTCCAAACAATGAAACATAGGAAAAACAAACCATCAGAGGGTTGAGAAACTGGCCCTGGAATAAACCAGTACTGAGTGTAACACCTTGGACTTAGCCTTTCACTCTACTCCACGGTGATTCAGTCAACTCAGGGTGGATCATTCTCAGCCAAAGTAAACATGGATGAATTAATAAATAGTACCATTTTTAATGTTACCTAAAACTTATTTATGTATTTTCTGATGTTTAATAAATTGTCTGCTTTTAAAATATGCTTGGGTTAATATCTTAATTTGATGTTGTATAAAACAAAATCAGAATAAATACTTGTACATAACCAAGAGAAAACATATCTATCTCTCAAAATGTGAAGACCGTGAGTTCTACATTACTACATTAAGCACTGTCTTGAAAAATAATCTTACATCACCAAAGAATCTTTCCCCTCTATAATACCTTCATATGATACTTCACAAGTCTGAAAACAAACTTTGGCGAAATAACTGCAGACATAGATTTTCATCCATGATAGCAAGGCATACTAGGAAGACCTCACAACTGGCAGATGGTCATATGGTCACAGTGATGTGGGATTGGTTGATGTACCCACAGAGCTGTTGAAGTGATAACTGGTGTGGTTGCTGATATCATGGCCCCAAAGTTCTTCACACCCCTCCCTTCATTCCTACCTCGACTAATAATCATGCCCCAGGGCCTCCAGACAGGTGATGGAGAATGGGCTATAAGTCTTTCCTAATGGAAGCCATGTTTGTCAGATAGTTACTGGCATTGTCATCTCTTACATGTGGCCATGTTTAATCAGGTCCTGGCTTATAGCACTGAGCTGTGGTAACGGGAATAATACCTGCCTCAATTGAGGGTGTATTGAGCATGACACTGGTGTGTGCCTGTGTTTGCCCAATTCTGTAGCCACTGGCTACATTTGCTTGTTATTGAAATATGGTAGTTCTAAAATGATGTACTTTAAGTGTAAGATAAAAGCTTTCACAAACTTAGTGTATTAAATAACATTATTTTTACATTATGTCTTAAAATGTTTTATATATTTTGGTTAGGTAATACATACTGAAATTTAATATTCACAATAATCAGGATTGAATGCAGGGTTTTGCACTTGCTAAGCAGGCAACCTCCAGCCCTTTTTGCATTGTTTTGTTTGTTTTAGGGGACTGGGGATTGAACCCAAGACATTGCACTTGCTAGATAAGTGCTTTGCCACTGATCTACATCCTAGGCCTGGCACTCGTTATTTTTGAGGCAGGGTCTTGCTTTATGCTCAGTCTAGCCTGGGCTGTGATCCTCCTACTTGTGCTTCCCAATGTTGCTAAAGATGACAGATACCACCACCGAGCCCAGCCTTGGTGCTTCTCCCATAGCTGGGATCCAAGCTGGGAAACCAAGCTGTTTTTCCAAGAACCTATACCTGTCCTGGTTCCACTTAAACTTTTGAGAGGACTCTTAAAGTTGCATGTTTGTCTTAGTCCATTTATGATTCTACAACAATACCATGCTTGGCCTGACGTCCAAAATACAAGAGGCCCTGGTCCAAAATGCAAGATCTTACCTGAAAAGTAACAAAAGCAAAAAAGAATTGGCTCATTGCTCATGCAGTGGAGTGCTTGGAGGCCCTGTGCTCAATCTCCTGTGCTAGGAAGCAGGGGACAAAAAAGGAGGGGTGCCTTACAACTGCACCTCCAGAATAAAAAAGGAATGTTGTATCCGCATGTGGTAGAGAGCAGAAGGCAAAGCTGGGCAAAGTCTCAAGCACTTCCTGGCAAGATGTTGGCCCAAGCTGTGCCCAAACCATGAACCCCCAGTCCTCACCTCCCAGTACCGAGGATTTCAGGCTTGAGCCCTTGTACCTGGCTCTTCAAGGTCCTTTATAAGCACACCTGGTCCCCCATGAAGGCAGAGCTCTCATGACTTAATTGCTTCTTAAAGGCTGTACCTCTTCATAGACCACTGGCAACATTTGAATATTGTAAGGAACACAGTCAAGCTGATTCTTGATCTTACTTTCCCAAGCCTACTCCCTTCCCCCCAGTATTTAGTAGTGGCAGAGGGCATTTTCCTTTGTGGCTATTTAAAATATAGACCTTGGAATCATCTTTCAATGTTCTCTCCCTCAACCCCTATATCTATTCCTTTATCACATTCTGTTGAGTCTCTCTTCAGATTATATTCTACTTCTCTCTACCACTCATCTCTTGTAGGACCATTATCTCTGAGTGGACCATTGCAGTATCTCATTACTAGTCTCCCTACCTCCATCCCTGTCTCTCTGTAACTTCCAAGATGAACATTTTACATTGTCAAGTCACTCTCCTCAGTCTTCCATATACATGTTATCTTCCTAACTAGTAGTAAAACATGTCACCCTTATAAAAGCCATACGAGAGGGGGCAGGGAGGAAAAGTGGGAGACAAATGAGGGAGGAGGTAACATGTTCAACAAGAAGTGTACTCATGCCTGTCATCCTGGCTACTCAGGAGGCTGAGATCTGAGGATCGTTCAAAGCCAACCCAGGCAGGGTTGTGAGAGTCTATGAGAGTCTTATCTCCAATAAACCACCAGAAAACTGGAAGTGGCACTAAGGCTCAAGTAGAAGAGTATTTGCCTTAAGCTGAAGAACTGAGGGACAGCACCCAGGCCCAGGGTTCAAGCCCCACAACTGACCAAAAAGGAAATGTTCTCACTACCTTACTTATGTAACTGTAACCCCTCTGCACATCACCTTGACAATAAAAAAAGAATGTTTTTTTTTTTCATCAGTTGTGGGGCTTGAACTCTGGGTTTGGACTCTGTCCCTCAGCTTTTCATCTCAAGGCTAGCACTCCACTACTTGAGCCATACTGCCACTTCCAGTTTTCTGGTGGTTTATTGGAGATAAACATCTCATGGACTCAACTGCCCTGGGTGGCTTTGAACCGAGATCCTCAGATCTCAGCTTCCTGAGTAGCTAGGATTACAGGCATGAGCCACAGGCACCCAGATGACAATAAACTTTTTAAAAATACAATAAAATAAAAAATAATAAAAGCCATACAGGATTTGACCCTTTCATTGCTGTATATTCTCTGTCTTTCCCTATCTTCTTGCCTTAGTTTACTTCCTGATCCCTTCAACTTTCCACTGAGTATCTTCCTCAAAGCCTCAGTGCTCTTTGCCATGTGCTCAGGGAGCTTGTTCTGCAATCAAGTCTCTGTATAAAGCTCACCTTGCTGACTGCACAACCTTCTCTGTACATTGATAATCTACTTGTTAAATACCTGAGCCCCTCCCCGCCCCCATATTATATCTACTCTGAACTTTGAGTGGACAACTGGTAGCTTCTCTGGATTGGTTGGATTCTTCTGTGTTCCTTGTAGAAGATGAAGGACTCTGCATACAGAATCCTAAAAAGTAGTGGTGTCATCCGGATAAGCGTGGATATGCTTGCAGTTTTCCCAGCATGCATATATTTGCACTTTAGAGTTTTGCCTCTGGATAATCCAGAGATAACATTTTTGTGGCAGATGTAAAAAGCGATGAATCCCTATGAGAAATCCTGTTCCCAGATGAGAGTGCTTCCTCAGGAATGCTAGGAGAGCAGGGGACCCGAGGCTGTGATTTAGTGACAGAGGGGAGTGAACTGATCCTAGAAACGTAAGAACAAGAGACTTCTAATGAGACCTGACAGTTCAAGGGCTGAAGAAGGAGGCTAATCTTTTTTTTTTCCCTGCCCACCCAGTCTTCATACAAATGTAAATATGCCTCCTGCAACAAATTGCCAAATGTGGTTTTAATTTGTAAGTACCCCGCCTTGTCTTTCTCTTCCTCCATTTTTCCTTTTCTTTCTTCTTCTTTTTCTTCTTCAAAAGTAAGTCACAGGTTTTGCACTTTTTGAACTGGACATTTCCTCCTGTCATTCTTGTCACCTCTTCTGATGTCTCTTTTCTTCCAAAGACATTTCCCCCATTGTTGTCAGAGAATTGTGAGATGAGAGTGGACTGCTCGGTTTTTGAAGTTCCCAGAAGAAATACATGTGCTCTTTAAACGGAATTTTAAAAAGAAGTAAGACAAGGATTGAATCCAATCTGAGATTTGAAGAGTGTCAGTATCGGGGCATCATACTTTATGTAGTGTTCACAGAATCCATTGTTGTTATTTATGACCCTGTCTGCCTTCCATTGTGGACTTCTTCCAGCCTTGGGGAATTTACATCATTCCTAATAGCAAAAGGCTTTCTGGTTCCCACAGAGTTGTTCAAAGCCTGACTCATGCTCCTTATGTTAATTGTTCAGCCCCGAAAATACAGCACTTACTGGGTGTGGTTGTAAAGGGAAAATCTACTGTACTTACAGGGCATGTTTAGAAGTGTTTCACACATAAATCTCCATTGCTCCCAATCTCTCCCAGTCATTCCCTTTCCCCTCCTTTCTTTCTGTCTGACTGAACTTTTAAAATATTGGGGGTTTTTTTCAGGCCACTAGTAAATTTAGAATAATAACACATCTAGAATAATAATAACAAATCTAGAATAATAACACAACAAAAAAATAATAACACATCAAAGTCCCGTATAATCCAGTAAAGCTAATAGTATTTGAGTTTACTATTAAAATTGACTGTAACTGATTTTGACTTTCTATGATACTGGCCTGGGTCTAAAGTGATAGCACTGTAAGAAAGCTAAAGGTTACTCATGACTCTGTGGTGTGGGCAGTGATTGGGTACAATCCATGACATCATATGGGAGATAGCCAGGCATAATGATGGCTGCCATCTACCAAGTTCTCAGGGGCTGTCACTGTTTTTCCTTACGTAAGCCAAAGTAAAATAAGGACCTACTGGTGACTTACAAAATTGTCCCTTGCGGTGGCAACATTTTACTGGAGTTTGAGGTGGAAGAATACTTAATGTAAGTATTCAGAAAACAAAAGAAGTTAACACCTTGCTCAGATTATCGACTTACTAAGCAAAAGGAAAAGATTAAAAATGCATAGCATGGATCACTACTGGAGGAGGTTGGAGTCTTTTATATTTTACAATTATATCCTTATGAAATTATCATGGGTATATAAAAAAGTAGATGATCAATGAATTATATAAAACCCTGGTGCTGGCTAGTATAAGAAAAACTCTCAAGTTTTTAGTTTATCAATTGACAAACTCCAATTTTCAAGATATTAATACCAGAAGGTTTAACCTGATGTAGTCTTGAGGATTAAAGGATATATTCTTAATAGGAAAAATGTTGGGAATTTTTATAATCAAGGTGTTAATCATTGTGCCACCAAGTCTTTCTATAAATATGCTACGCCTAGCTCAGTAACTCTATACTTGTGGATCATTTGGTCTATAGAGATATCAGTCAGTGGCCTTAAATTCCCAGATGGTTTGGAATCTTTTATGTGATAGCCTTGTATGTTTGTATAGAATGTGTAGATTGCTGGTGGAAAAGAAGTTGTAAACCTACCAGAAAGTCCTAAATGAAAAAGTCAAAATATCCTGTAACACTAAGCAGTTTTATTATGTTTTCACAAAAATAAAGCTATCCATATGAACTTTTAGACTGTAACTGTTTTCTTTCATGTTCAGCTCTCATTTCTGATTGAATCTTTGTTATCATTCCAGACAGAAAGAGCTCTCCATGGAGTATCTGATTATTTTGCTGAGTGTGCAAAGTCTCCTTCCTCCCAGAGCAAACGCAAGAGAAATACTCTGAAAGAAATGTAAGTCTAGCATGTTTCCTCTTTTTAATTTTTGACTGCCTGCATGTATGGATGGGTCACCTGAAGTATAGAATTAAATAAGAGTACATGGGGCACAGAAGAAAAAGAACTAAGCAACCCAAAGACAGCAATGGGAAGGGAGGAATGAGAGGGAAAGAGGGAACAGCTTACAATAAGCAAAAGGAAAAAAGTATAAACATCATCTGATGTGGAAGAAATAATTGTATTGTCAAAGCTCATAGAATTCACAAACTTTATAGACCATGATAATGACAATATGCCTGTGAAGGTTAAAATGTGTTTGTGAGTTTAACTAAGTATCACTCACTATTCCACAATACTGTGAAATATGTGAAATTTATATAATCACCTAATCTCAATTTTCAAAAAAGTGAGAGGAGGATGGGTTAGGAGAGATAGGTGACAGTGTTGTCACCCTTGTGTTCATATACTGTTTTGTAGAATAGGAAATTCTTTGTACAACTTAAAGATAATAACAATTTTAAAATGTTAAAAAAAAAAAAAAGAGTACAGGAACCTGACTAACAAACCTCCTCTGGCACTGATCCTTACCCTCAGTCTCATATTTGCCCTTCCCACTATCCTATTGCTCTTGCTTTCTCGAAGTAGGAGTAGAGTCCTTGCTTCATAGGTATGTTGCAAGGAATAATTAGTTATAAGTCTTTGAAGATGAAAAGCACTTGTTGATGGTGTCTTTTATACAACTTCCAGGCGAATACAGACAGATAAAAAAATACATTCCTTTTCTGATATGCCCATTCTCACTTTAATATAATAATGATAATCTTTGTGTCCCTGATGCAGTGGGAAGAACATGAAACTATATATTGCATATATTTGTCTCTGCAGTAAAGCTTAACCAAAATAAATGTCACAGCTTCAATTGTTTGAATTTGATGGCTAGAGAAATTTCTTGCCATTCATAAAGTTCTTGCCATCAACTTCTTTCAAAAGTTAAGGTCTTTGGTCTCTGAATTTTCCCTGTGCAGTTTCTGTTCCTCAAAGTTTACTTTACAATTAGAGTGACAGTTATCTTTTCAGTTGACATTTATCTTTTCAGTTATGTGTCCTGTAGCAAAAGAGTTTTCAATTTAAAAGGAGGTAGGGAAGAAGGGAAGGGAAGAGAAGAGGGAGGCAGGGAAGCAGGGAGGGAGGGAGGCAGGCAGGCAGGCAGGCAGGCAAAACAAGATACATAAACTTCTGTTTGAATAGCTAGAGCTACTTCCATATTGTAGATGAAGAAGCATTGACGCCAGCTGAATGGTGATTATATCTGAGTAATATCTTGAAATAGCATTAATGAAATTCCAGATTATTCTTTATTCACAAATAGAAATGCATTGAGCATATCTGCATGTTTTAAAATCTTAGGCAGTACTGCCTATTAACATATGAAATAAATTCACCTATTTGTTTCACTTAAAATGTGGCCTCCATTATAATTCCATTGATGCCCCCAGTGTTCAAAAAAAAATGCATCCTAATAGAATAGAAAATATGAAAGTGGTTGCTTAATCCAATCTGTATTATCTAATCCAGTCTGTATTTTCATATATTTGCTTGGGGGGAGACAAGGAGCAAGCAGGTAGGACATGGCCAGTTCTTCAAGCATAAGAAATGTGTGAGGGAATTTGGAGGAAACATGCCATCACAGCCTCTCACAGCATGCAATTTTTTTTTGTTATTGTTTGTTTTAGTGTGAAAAGAACTAAAACAAAAGGCAGCACTGTGTGAGCAAATCACAGACCAGAAGAGACACTGTGGTGACATCTAGGGACTCGGTGACTGCAGAGGCACCAAGGAGGAGGGCTGATGGCAGCCCTCGCCCAGCCCACTGTCAGAGTCTGTGGGACAAACAAAGGATTACATAAAGACAGCAGAGAACAACTGCACAAAACTGGAAAATGTTAATCCAGCCTAACCAGAAGACACCAACAGCCAGCAAAAACCTCATCCCGGGGAGCAGTTCGAGACAGAACCTCTAAGTGGGAGCCCCGTCTGTAGCTGTGAGTCAGCACCACCAGGTCCAAAGCAAAGTCCACGAACTGCCAAAACATAACAGAAACTCAGGAACTGTGGCTCTGTGGAAGACTCCGACCACCACAGCAGAGTTTTTCTTGGAAGTGATCAATTAGTCCCAAGAGAAATGAGAGTGGAAAAAGCATAGCTGTCAGTGTTTTACCAGCTTCAGCGTTGTCAGATCCGGGGTTACTTCTAAAGCAGAATTTGGCCAAAGAAGAGCTGTGTGTTTTGGAAAAATTTTCTCCTCCAGACATCTTGCAAAAAATAACCCAGGGCAGGCACAGCAAACCAGCTGAGCCACAAACAATGAAAGCTTAGCTACCATCCACAGCCGCCCAACAGAGAAATGAAAGAAGTGGCAAAGTTGTAGTTGAAGATACAGTGTCCAAATCTGTGATAAAAGAGCTATGTGTATAGTTGCTGATACTTAGGAAATAATTACAATGACCCTGTCAAATAAAAACTTTATATTTGTGCTACATTTTACTTTGATACTGTCATTTTCAGGAGACTAACAACATTTCTTGTTATACTGTATGGCTATCTTAAGAAATTCTTTTAATGGTAAAGTGCCATCATCCTTATCAAGGAGACCATTTGTGCAAGAATAGCAGGAAGAAATGAGTCATACCCCTCCCCCCATACATACACAACACTGTGAAGACATCATGATGATGAAACAGGTAAATGCAGTGCTTATGGTGTTGCACTTCAGTCCTAAGGACACAGGAAGTTGTCTTGCTTCTCAGCATGAGAAAAATAGGCTGACTGTCTATGTATAGTTCTGGATCCAACACCAGAGTCTGGAAACATGTTAGAAGTGCACATACTGGGCCCCACTGCAGACCTGCTGGATGAGAAACTCTGTGATTCTGAAATGTGCTCAACTTTGAGAATCTGGATTAATTGAAGACACCCTAATGTTTATTTCCTCCAGCGTGGCTACTATGGCCTCCAACTCATCATCCAGGGCCACGTATGGAGATATATACCCTGGACTCCCTCAAACTTGTAAAACACCTGGGCTCAATGTATGAGTCACTCTGTTCCCAGGATCTATAGCTTGACAGCCACAGCACCTAGGGAGCTATTACTTATACTTGCTATAATTGCTGGAAGTTTACAGATAATTCATCTCATTAGACATAGACATGGCTTGCTCTTGCATGTCTCTGTAACCTGCCTTGGTCCCCACCTCCAAGGTCTTGGTTACCAAACTCCAAGAAGAACTTGGTGGCCAGACTTTTCCAGTTTCCTATTCGGAAGGCTTCATAGCCCATTTAGATTTCATCTTTGATTCCACTAAGGAAGACAAGAAACCTAGGGGCCCACCCTAGAAGTTTGAACTGCACTTTACTTGGCGAATAGAAGATGGAAATTTTTGTTCTGGGCATTTTGGATAGTTTGTATAGGAGAAGATTAGAGCCATTGGTAAAACTGAAAATCACAGGAATGTTGTCCACATTGAATAATGCACCATTAAAATTACAATTCTTTCTGAAAAGTAATTCTCCGAGAGGTATTTCAGATACCTTTTATGGAATAGCTTATAAACCCATCTTCAGGATTGCATCTGATGAGGATCCATAGAAATTTTGTTATTTCCAGATTATCAAGATGAAGGTGGACCAGAGTCTGAGGCTGGCCCTGTGACAGCATTTACACAATATTAAAGCATTCGCATAATACCGTAAATTCATTCAATGTCTACCCTCCCTTTTGTCTGCTCACCATTAAGTGGTTCTTTAAAGTAGCATCTACCCTAAGAAATAAGGAAAATTAAGTATATTTCTTTAAAGCTGTTAGCAGAAGAATAACCTAGAAACAGCCCAACAAAAATAAAGAATATGGAAATAGGCATTATAATTGATAGTTTTTCCTGGCTCTGTCCTTCCCATTCTCCTTTGCCCAGTTGTTTTATAGGGTGAAACATGTAAAGAAACAACCATTTTCACAGCACCATTTTACGTCCTGAAATTCAGATGTAGTCATCAACCCTGGATGTGAATATAAATGTTATTTCTTAGGTGTTCTAATTCTGCCTGTGCTTGTGCTTACCTGTGATCTCAGCTACAACACCTTCACCAGAAACTTTGTGCTGCCTACTGGTATCCTTTCCTGGTCCCTCCTAGCTTTTCTCCAGCTTCCAGAGATTTCTAATCAGAGCTTTTTATAGGCAAGGAAGAAATTCAATATAATTCTAACCCCAGTGGAGACAGCTTAGCTTGCACCTCCTGAGAACCTGTGAGACCTTGATTTCTGGCTCATCATAGCCACCTCCTTCCCCACCTCCCTTTGAGAGATCAGTGTTGTAAGGTATGCTCTTTACTGAAGATAAGACCATGGTGTATCTCATTGAGTCCTCATTGGAGGTACAAATAATCCAGGTCATGAGACAAGAAACAGCTCCCTGGAAAAGTCTTTAAAAGTAAGGAATAATCCTAGAACAAAGACTACTGTCTACTCCAGAACTGAGAATTTGAACAGGAATCACTAGAGAAGTTGTTTTGTTTTGTTTTGTTTTCTGTCGGTCGTGGGGCTTGAACTCTGGGCTTGGGTGCTGTCCCTGTGCTCTTCAGCTCAAGATGAGCACTTTGCTGCTTGAGCCACCATGCCACTTCCTAGAGAAGATTTTTACTGACAAGTTTTTTGTTTCATTATTTGACCCAGGCTTTTTGTTTTAAGTGTAATACTTTCTCATAGCCTTCTTGTACAGTGGATTAACCAGAAATGGCCTTGGGCTCCCCACACTGAGTATATGTTTGAGGAGTTTTGTCTTTAAGCATTTTCCTTCCAAATGTCTGAAACATCCCTAGATCTCTTGGTACTTGAGTGGTTATTTGATTCTTTACCTGTTTGGAAGTACAAAGGGGAAAATGGATGTCAGTGGAGTTGGGTTGTCTTATTAGGTGAGTTATAAAAGGGTTTCCATTGTTGGGAATAGTATGTGTTTCGGTATTCTTAGCAATCTTCATAATTTGGCAACTAAAAGTGTGAGACTTTGATTTACAACTAACATTTATATTAGAAAGAGCAAATTCTTCAGCCAATACTCTAAATTTATATTCAAGTCTTTCTGATTCAGATGCTTGAAGAGATGCTGATCCAATTCCATTAGTGTTGTAACTTTCAGCTCCCGCTCTCAATGTCTTAGATTCTAAGGCACCTCCACATGCTTTCAAATGACATTTTAATAGACGGGTATTAGGTTTTATTTAATGTTCACATGCGAGAAAGGTCTGGGAACAGTCCATGTGATTTTTTTTTTTAATATACATTGCCTTTTCTTTGCCACTGGAGGTTAACTGGTTTGTAGATGTATGTATGTTTGTTAAAAACAAAGGAACAAACATTTGGTTCAGAGAAGAGATAAGTGCTGCAGCTTTTTGTTCCTTTAATAGAAAAGAAGAATGATAAGTTAGTTTCATTTTTTGGAAAAAGAAGAATTATTGGACTGGTGGTAGAATTGGTGCTTTCATTGTATGTACAAGACCCTCAGTCCTAAGCACCACCAACAACCACAAAAGACTTGCCAAAACCTTCTGTGTTTGGATTTATGAAGAATATAGCTTATCTGAATGAAGTATCTCAAAGTACATCTTGGGACCACAAGGGGTCATAGTGTAATTGTTTTCTTTTTGGTATCTTTTAGCACAAATTGTTGTGTATATCTGTGGCCTTTGATTTCAGAAAGCACTTGATGAAGGCAGACACAAAAGGAAAGGAAACTCCTGTGGCCAAGAGAAGGGCCTGGGATTAGTGTGGCCATTCTCTGTTTCCTTCAGCTCTTTAGAAGGCACCACCATAATATTTCCACAAAACTTCAGTGAATAGAAAGCCAAATTTTCTCTCTTCAGCATGCTATGACTTGAATATGGAACTCATTTTAATTTCTTCTTTTTCTTATGAGGAAATTTCCATGCTTGGTTTGTCAAGACAAGAGAGTTTGTTTCTTGGGATTGAAACAGTAATGAATTGAAACATGTTGGAGCAAGTTTTTTTAAAAAAGTGTTTTTTCCTAGTTTAAAGCTTTCCTCAGTGCAAAATAAATTAAGCATTGTAAAATGAAGTTAATTCAAGTAATTACTCAATGTAGAAGTTCCAACCATATATATCATTGGTATTGCAACTTCAGGGTATAATTAAATGCTCAGAAATCCTACGGAACTTCCTCTAATTTGGTTTCTATATATATTTAACAAGACAAGGAACAAATATGTGTCCCTATGCAGTGTAACAGAAGACTTGAATGAATGAGATTATCTTCAGTTCTAGAACTCTTAGATGCTAGGTTTGAATTTAACTATATTCAGTTGCTTTATTTGCTGGTGGATATTAACATATTACATGTCACATTATAATTGCCATTACTGTTCCGTATCAAAGAATTGATTCTTAACTTGGTCCTAAGGCATCTTGATCAGGTGCCTGCAAATATCAGTTTAACAGATTCCCGGAATAGCTTTCTTCTTCCATAGTTAGAAAGCCTAACTGACATAATCACAGGAGATCTCCTATTGACGCTTTCTTGTTCTGTTTTAAACTACCTAGGCAATTTGAACAGTTGTATAGTTCTAGAGGATGAAACTTTATGTAATAGATATATACTTGTTTTATGAATAGAGAAAAATGTTTTAAAATTTTGTGTCTTTTATTCTCAAAAAAAGTAAAGGAGGGGCTGGGAAGGTGGCTCAGTGGTAGAGCGCTTGCCTTGCATACATGAGGCCCTGGGTTCGATTCCCCCGCACCACATAAGAAAAAAGAAAAAAGCTGGAAGTGGCACTATGGCTCAAGTGGTAGAGTGCTAGCCTTGAGCTGAAGAGCTGAGGGACAGCACCCAGGCCCTGAGCTCAGGCCCCACGACTGGACCCCCCCCCCAAAAAAAAAACAAGTAAAGGATTAAATTGGCCATTAAGATTTTGGAATAGTTCTTACAATGTGAATTTGTTCCTACTCCTAACTGTGCTTTAAAATGGACCTCTTGGGTGAGGCTAAGTACATCACCTTGACTCTTTTCTAGATAATTGTTACATTCCTGAAGTGTATTTATTTTTCATGTTGTAAGTAGATCTAGTCTTTGGTGCTGATAAGGTCCAGGGCTAAGTTTTTCTCTATTTTTTTTCTATTTTTGTAATTGCCAGTCCTGGGGCTTGAACTCTGGTCCTTGGCACTGTACGTGAGCTTCTGGAATCAAGACTGGCACTCTACCACTTGAGCCACTGGTCTACTTCTGGTGCTTTTTTTTTAAGTGGTTTATTGGAAATAAGTATCTCAGGGACTTTCCTGCCCAAGCTGTCTTTGAACCACAATCCTCAGAGCTCATCTCCTGGATAACTAGGATTACAGGAGTGAGCCACCTCCACCTGGCTGTTTAAATATTTTGGGACATATCACTGACCTTTCAGGCCTCAGTTCTTCATCTGTCAAATATTATTATCTACTGTTTCAAGTGCCACCCATAGCATTTAAGAGTACTAAGGT